TACCAAATAAATTAAGTCCAAATTCCAAGACAGAGCAGTTTGATCCTCTATCATCTTTCTCTACCTTAGTTTCTCCCACTTAACAATTTCTCCTTATTCCTTTGGCCTAAAGTTTCCTTTGCTTAGCTGGTATGCAAACCATCCTCCAAGAACAGCTGACTAGCACCTCCTCCATGCTGAATTCTACATGCCAACCGTTCACCCCGAGTAATATTCACCTCCTCCATGTACTGCGTTCACAGCACTTTACTTATATCACTGTACAGCATTTATGCATTCTAGTATGTGACAGTTATTTATAAATATCTATCTTTCCACAGAGGGGACTGGATAAATGAATGGTGAAAATCAACAGACAACAAACACATAAAGCAAATTTCGAAAGAAAGGAAGAAGTGGATTCAAAATCTGAATGGTGAAAATCTTATAAAGGTTAAGAGATCACTAGAAATTCAGGCTTCTGCTTTATAGATGCCTTATGGCACAGGGATGACCAAGGTTAACTCTTAATAAGATTCCTTTAGATATTTCACTTTATCAAAGGCTTTTCCTAGAATTCTCAAGTAGAAAACTAGGGGATCACTTAATTTATCTTAGAACAAATTTAAAATCTAACACAGTACTAAACAAAATTGTTCCCACATTTATCCAAATCTGCTAGGCCCCAGGATTCTGCTAAGGCAAAAAAAAAAAAAAAAAAAAACCAACTTCAGTAAGGAGAAGGAAATATGTGAAGGAGAATAATTCAAAAAATGATAGTCCCTATTTCCAGATTGTAGGAAGGTGAGAGTCTCAAAATCAACAAACATAAACAACAGGCATCCAAAATCTAAGTTTTACTTTGTAAGGAATATTTTTTAGAAGTATGAGAAATTCAAAATAGAAAAGACTATTTACCTGTTTTAAATATCTGAATATAATCCAAACACCCATGATTAACAAACTTTAAATTACATTATAATCTTCATTACTTAAAAAGATAAAGAATGAATCATATTTCAGGTCTGACAAAAGTATTAAATGCACAGAGGACAAAAGGCAGAAAAAGGCTATTTGGCATCATCACTTTCCAAATGCTTTTAAAATTATGTCAGTAGTGTACCTGGGAATAAATGACAAGGACAACAAGACGAAAACACAGGCTAGTCCTCAACTTCCTTTGCTCTTTAGCATCAATTAATTATTTTCTAATTTCCTGAGCATCCATGGATGCTCAGTACATTCAGCATCTATTAGATGGAAAATGGTTTCTCTATTTGCCATCACCTGGCTAAGACTCTCGTGAAAACCACACTCAGGAACCTCACATTAATAAATTATCATTCTGACCAGACTGATTAGCAATCATTTCCTTACCCTCACCTCAGCATGTCCAACAAGAACACAGTAACGCTCTTCCTAAAAGGCATGGCCAGCAGAATCCAGACAGAAAAACGTCCGTGCAGTGGCCAGAACAACAAGGTGAACGTTCTCTGCTCTGCTCCCCCTGTACTTTGTACACATCTGTAACACAGCCCTTTCCATACTCCATGGCAATTATCTGTTTACACACATGGCTCCGGTGCTGGCCCCCCAGTTCCTGGACAGGTCGAGGACTGGACAATGACTTGTCTAGCTCTGCATTTCTAGTAGTAAGAGCTTAGTAGGAACACAGTAGGCCCTCGATAAATGTCTGTGAAGTGTTTAAGAAACTCTGTCTCTCAACAGCTTTGGAACCCACGTTTCATTCAGGGTGTATTTGAACCTAGATATGTAGTCAGGCGTAACAGTTCTCTCACTGTGTCAAATAGGCATCCAATCAGCTATTGACTTACCCTGAAACACAGAGGTAGGGCCAAAAAATCTGTGTAAGTGGGAAGCTTTTGGACATGCTACCACCATTCTCGATACATGTACCATGCTACCTCTGTGCTACTGATGTTCTGTTACAGAACATTCTACTACATCTTATGGGGAACACAAATGGCAACTACTTTCTCTTTGTCATATTTTCAGGGACCTTGGAGAAAATGCCTGCCCTCTGAAAACAGAACAACTAGTTGAAAGCAGAATCTCGGTTCACCATTTAAAATTCTAGAGCCAAGAAAAGGTGATAATATACACTTAGTAGATATTTCCCTTACAGCCTAAGATTCCTTTATTAGCTCCTATAAAATAAGTTATTTTACTTTGTGGGTGGCAGAGACACACTGAATTTGAGAAGCTTGTGTTCATATTTATACTTCTAAGATCTGGTCTCGTGAAGAGGCTTCATAAGGAAAAAATGCCAACCTTACACTTAACCCTACCTTTTATACAACCACCAATTAGACTGGAAAGTTGCTATTTTCTGTTATTCACAAGCTAAACTCGTGCTATTGAAGTTATTTTGAAAAACAAGTCTTGTGTCAAGGGATTAACTTTGTGACAAATAATAAAAGCCCCTGATATAATCATCAGGACAATGTTGATATTAGGAGCCACTTCCTTCACTACTGACAAATAAGAAAAGGTAAACACAAGTGGGGGAGGTTTCCGTGCTCCACACTTACATTAAACATATGGCCGATGTGGAATTATGAATGCCTTTCTACTATTGTGTGACAGAATAAAAATATGTATACTCAATTCTTGCATAATATTTCATGTGATTTCTCCCCACAAAGCCCAGGGATGCATACACAAATGAACACAACCATTTACTCCTTCAACAAACAATAAACAGGGAAAGCCATAGCAATCCACCTTCGCCAACGCCTTCACCCACATCCCACTAAGTAGAGACCTCGGATAATAAATTTCCACATGAGTCAAGTTTCTCAGTTGGAGCGGCTAAACCCAAACCCACAAAAGGGTTAATAAAGTAAACAACCACAGATGCTTAATTATCAAATAACCATTTACGTTACCATAACTCATAGCGAAATAATTAAAGGAGGATAAAACTTACGTTAACAATCAGTTATAGACCAAAATTAGGACCACCTAGTTTTTAAGGTTTCCAAAATAATTCCTTATAGTCACTACAGCTTACCACTTTCTTACATAAATCTTCTGGATCTGATAGTCTAACATTCACAAATGTACAACTTTTGAACACTCCAGGAAGGGCTGCAGGGGATGGAGGAGAAGCTCCCCTATAGAATCTGATCCATTTGTTGTCCCCATAAGAAGCATGTCCCAAAAGTCGTTCCTAAAGTTGCCAAACACAGGTAAAAGAAGAAATTGTAGCTAACTGTACCTTTATTTATAAAATATTCATTACAAAATTTTACAAAGAGGTGACCAACAGAACATTTTATAAATATTGTGTCAAATTTAATAATGAGTACTTTATAAATAAAAGTAGATTTAGCTACAATTTCTCATTTTCCCTATGTACGGCAACTTTAGGGGCAACTTTTGGGACACCCTGTATAACAGATAAGAGGAAAAAGTGGAATTCCTTCTCTTATCCCCAACTAATGACTGAGGCAATGGGAGTGACCTTCAAATGCATCCTCTTTAGAAAAGCAAAGAGAGACAGCATTGTGCTGGTCAAATACATGCTATTTTTTCCAACTGCACATTCCTTATTCTTAAGTATTCAATGCTAAAATCAAAATCTGACCCCAAGCAGCAAGTTGCAATGTTCTGACACTATGACATCATTCTGTCTGGAGCACTTCAATGTAACAATTTGAATAAATTGGCAGAAGCTTAAATAGGTCACGCTGAAGACCAAAACTAAGGGTATTTACCTGGCAAAAATATTCTCGGTCTGCATCTACCACCACCAGCAGTAGAATAACAAGCCCAGCCAAGTCCATCTATCTGTGTATTTTCCGTAAGGATAAATACAGTAAATCTTGTCAACCTCCTTATATTGTTACTACTACTGAGGATGGCTTTTTGTAGCCAGTATCTACACATAGTATCTAACCAAAGCAATGGGGAATGTTACCACATGACTTTATGAGTGCTTTGGCACAATCCTACAAAGGAATATTTCTTTAAACTTCCATTTCTCCAGTTTTAACAATACACGTATAAACAGTCCTTCCTAACTATATTTATAATTAGCCCCAGATATCTATGACATAAGGCCATAAGGAAGGACAAACGTTTACCAAGAAATATGGAAGAGTCCTACTGCTTCAAAAGCAAAAATCAGTAATTTTTATAAAGCAGCAAACTACATCTTAATCAAATTTATTTCATAATCCTATTCAATAAGATAGAATGCTGATAGGTATAGTTTTCTGAGTAGTTTTCTATAAGGTATGCCATTCGCCTTTTTAACTGGACTTCTTTGGATACTGACATCCATCTTGATTTCCTCTTGAGAAATTCTAGTTCATCTGAAACCAACATGATCAAACCACAGAGGTTTCTGATACACTCAGCCCCACCACTCCCAACATATATTTTCCTTTCATAATAAACAATGTGCAATCGAAAGGTTTCCTGTTTCAAAATGGAATAGTAGATGAAAGAAATTGTAACTCATACCATTAACAACAAAAAGTTTCTTAATGAACATGAATTCTCAAAGATGAAAATGGAAACTGTCTCAACTACTGCTTTCCTCACTTAAGAACTAATCTGTTTCTTTCCCCAACACAGACTTTCAGGATCATACACACATAATTGTCATGAGTGGTCCATTAGAGACTTTTCTTAAATAACTTGTTTGTACTCTTTGGTTACCTAAAAGCAACAAACCTCATATAAGACAAAACAAACATACTTCCAAACATACTATGTCCATATACTAAGAAAAAGCAACCATGGTAAAAACTATGACTATGAGTCATATAGAGGAACTCTGAACTCTGCAGAGTAGGAAGGACAAAAGGTAAGGGGAAAAAAAGTCTTTGCTCTTAATCCAACTTTTCCAAACACACAGAGTGGTAGAAAAGTGATCAAAACAAATTAAAAGACTGCTGCCATAACAATTATTAATTAACATTATAAATACATCTGGAGAAAACAGACCCATGGTGAACAAAGCTCCCTACATGCAGTGAGACAGGACTTACCACTTTGTCCATAAGTTTCCATGTTTTCTCCACAGTCCTGCGATCCGCTGCAGCTTGCTTCGGGGGTCCAACTGCATCCTGAATAGCGTCAATAATACCCAAAATACGACCTTTTCGGGGATTTCCTCCTCGACCACCAGGGTTTCTGCCATTCATAGAGTTTGCCATCTGGAATCTTAGTTCTTTGAAAGGCAGATTAAAAAAAAAGTTAGTTATGAAAATATTTACTCACCATAACACTGACCAAGTTAACATGCAACCACTACATTCTCCTCCATCAATGAGAACAAAACCAAGAGTCCCAGATTCAACTTTTCAATATGCTTGTGAATTTACACTTTCAGTCTTTATACACAGTAGTTTAAGGAGCTATGACCCTAGATTTGATTTTAGAATACTCAGAGTTACAGATGCATCATTTATGCTTCAAGTAGCTAAGTCTGAACTAATAACCAACTCACAACAACAACAAAAAAACTTCAATGGGTTTCCTCCAACTAGATAAGAACACGTAAAATGTTTCCCCCTTCCGCCTAAATCCCAATTCAAACTACTGGAACTGAAGCCCCTACAATACATTTTGAGAGCCACACTCAAAAATCTCATTTCACTCTGTTAGATTTCTCCAAGTTATGTAAACGTAAAGATCATTCCACACAAGCATAAGGGACAGGTCTGTTGTCGACAAAGGCGTGGGACTTGGATTTTCCCCACTAAAACCACCAAGAACGAAGACACAAATACAGGGTTCTCTAAACCAACGCGGCGAGTAGTTATTCCCAAGAGCCATATCAGACAACAAACAAACAGCCCATTTTAGAAGACAGGGTGAGAAACTGACAAGAGCACCCCAGAAAGGAAAAAAGAGTTCACTTCTTTCACTCCTAGCCTCTAGTCTCACCCAAAGCTTTGTTTCAGGACCTCTGTTCCCCTTGCCTGCTCAGGCCCCTGCCCTGCCACTCTCCTCTGGGGAGGAAGCTGGACAGAGAGAGGACAAAGTATCCCGTCGCTTCTCCAGCGCCCGGCAGCCCTGTCCGCCTCGGGCGCTGGCTATCGGCCCCGATGGACGCACCTCCCAGCCGTCTGCAATTCCACCAGCCGGTCTCCCTGAACTCCTTCCTCCGCCTCCCCTTGGCCTGCCCCGTTCCGGTCTTTAAATACCCCACTTCAAACTGGACGGCGGCAGCAACAGCAGCTGCAAGCCGGGGCTCTCCCCTCGCCCTCCTTGGCCCGCGCCTGTCTAGCCCCGGGCCCCGGAGCTGGTAAGAAGTCCCGAGCCTCCCCGGCGCCCCCTTCCCTCCTTGCCTCTGGGCGCCGTAGCTGTCCGGAGACACGCGTGAGCGCGGGTCCGACTCCACACGCACGCAACCCAGGGTGCGTGGGTAGCCCGGGAAGGGAGTGTGTAATCGCCGTGGTTGCACGCTCCCGAAGGAGGAGCGACCCACAGCGCAGGCCTCCGAGACGTGGAGACGCAACAATTACCGTCAAGACAAATCCACACCCGCTCTCCCCTCCCGCCCGACTCTCGCGGAGGCCGCGGGACGCCGCAGCAGCGCTCGCTGGACACCCCACCCCGGTAACATACACAGAGACCCAGGCACGGGGCGGGGCGCGGGGCGGGCCCTAGCTCAGCTAGGCCAATCCCGCGCCCCGGCACCCTGCCCGACAGCGGGCGGAGCCAATGGGCGGGAGGCGCCCGTCCTCCTCGCGCTAACACCCTGTCCACGTCCTCCACAGTACACAATGGCCCCAAAGGAAGGCCCGCTCGTGGCGTGTCGGAATGGAAGGGAACTCAGAAGAAAATGAGGGACCTGAACTTGACTGGGAACGACAATGGAAAAGGGAAAGGAAATAGAGGAAGGATGCAAGGCACCAGAGAACTAACCAATAAGGGGAGGCAGGTGGGCGTGAGCGCTGGGAGCGGGAGCCCAAGCTGACTGGGGCTGAAAGGCGGGACTTCCTGCTTCACTCACCTTCCTAGTCTTTTGTTTCATAGCAACAGTGAAGTGCTGGAGGGTGTTGCTTCTCTACTCTGGGCGGATCCAAAGCTGAAGAAATTCATCTCCCTAGGGCTACCAAACTCTCCTACCCAGGACAGCAGCCAAACAGGTCTAGGACATTGCTTCTTGCTGGCTATCAAAAAGAGCAACAGCCACCAGGCTTCAAGGCTGAAGTATGAACCTCACAAAGTAGAGTAAGGCTAACACCTGATTGCCGACTGAAACTTCCTAGATTTCTGAACGTTACTCTTTTGCTATTAGTTTTAGAGGAATTGCAGATAAAACATCAGGCAGACTAAAAGCAAATCGTTGGCAATTCTGGCTAAATAGTCTACTAAGCATGCCAGGGCAATAAAAGTACCAGATAATGGGAATTGCTAATATATGCTTTGCACCTTTTTATTTAGCACAAGTTTCTGCACAAATGATTGAGAAGGAAATAGCTTTTGTATTTGGCCTGAGTCACCTTTACTCTACAAAGATTTCTCCACATTCTAAAAACAACCTTATTGTATTCTGCCATTCTCTACCAGCATTTTTAATCTCTTTCTGTGGCTCCATTCCTTCTACCCTTAAAAGGGCATTTGGACAGTCTTAAAAGGAAAAAGCTGCTGGGCTGGTACCCTTCTTTCAACAAGATCATAGATTAAACAAATGCCTTCCATTTCTTTGTTTACTTCAATCCTACCACTGGTGCTACTACGAATTGGCTCTGGATTTTCATGCTTTGAAATTTTCTTTCCACTACAGTTGATATTGTTGAATACACTTCAAACTTGGACTTCTCGGATATCATGATATTTTGCATTGTCTTACAAATGTATGTTTCTAATATTTCTCTAACCAGTTACCCTGTTTTCTATGGTTTTCCAACCACTTTCTAGAAAATAAGCGTTTTATTACTGTGCTTATTATGGTGAAGGCTCCTGAGTTTTTATAAACATGCTTTGCAGCCCTAAATTTCAATTTTCATTTGATAAAAACAGACAAATTGTGCTCATTGCTACCAGTCAGGTGGTAAAACATGATACAGAAAGTAATTTTGTTTACTTGTCATTATTCCTATGCCAATAATTTTCACCTTGTCTTTATCTACGGGTCTCTCCATATCTCCTCTAACCATCCGCATTTCTTTTATTCTTAGACATAGTAGCTACATTTACTAGGAAGTAACTGCAAAAGAGAAAACTAACTGGGTCACCTTTGAAATAAATCCCAAAAGAATCTAAATTATGTACAGAAATTTTTCCAGCATGTAGGGAAACAGTGGCTTAAGGAAACATTATAACTGAATGTCTTACTCATTCATATTTGCATAAATACAGAATAAGTAAAATGCATGTTATAGCGTGTGCCATCCCTTTTATATTACTTTGCAACTGAAAGAGAAGACTTAATAGGAAAAGGTTCTGCCTGTAGTATGAACCCGTTAGTACAAGTTACAAGTTTTGTGGTTTATGTTTATACCTATATGCCTACATATGTGAGATACTGTAGTCTCCACTTATCAAGAGTCTTGCTTTCCTTGGTTCCAGTTACCTTTGGTCAAAAGTAAGTACAGTAAGTACAATAAGATATTTTGAAAGAAAGAGAGACAACATTCACATAGCTTTTATTACAGTATATTATTATAATTCATTCATTATATTACCTTTGTTAATCTCTTACTGTGCCTGATATTAAGTTAACTTTGACTTTTAACTATAAATTAAACTTTGTCATAGTTGTTTATGTATAGGAGAAACATAGTATCATATATAGGGTTTGGTATTATCTGTTGTTTCTGGCATCCCCTGGGGGTTTGTAACATATCCCCTGTGGATAAAAGGGTACCACTGTGTGTGTGTGTATAATTGTTGAATACACTTACATACATACATACATATTTTATCAAGAAATTGTAGCTTTGTTCTTAATTAGCTATCTTGTCAAAGTGATCTAAAGGCCATGTCAAGTTCTGGTGGAGCAAAGATCCCAGTTGAGCTCAAACCAACATTCACGGTTTGGTTATGTCTGATAAACTGATAGGGCAGGCTCCCTCCCTGGCAATTATTAGAATGAGTTAATGTACATGGGAGAATGAAGACCTGGGATACCACTTCATTCCCCAGGTGCCTCCAATGGAGAACCAAGGAAAGAGCACAGTATTAGATGTCTGCTGCAGGGCTATAAATAAGAGCATAAAAATGTATTTTCATAACAGATGTTGTGATACTCAGGATGTAGATATTAGTGCCTCAAGCTGACAGAGTTGGATAGAGAGATAGTCTCTTCATTTCTATAGAACAAGTCAACCTCCAGCACATTGCAGTTTAAAGTGAATGCAGCATCAGTCAGCAATGTCGGGATTTGTAACAGAGAGAGAATATTCATATGGCCTCCTTATGGGAGAGTAGTGCTCTGGAAGCCCCTGGCATGACAGAGAATGGTGGGACTCCTACCTAAAGTGTTTTGCAAGCATAGGAACTGCCAGTTGGTGACTAATAAGAACAAACTAGCAAGCTAGCCATACACATACCTGATACCCTACTGGAAAATTTTATAGAAGCATCTATGGACCCTTATAATTACAGCCTTAATATTTGACATTAATATATGTACCATCAGTCTGGCACTATCTGGGAAAATGCAGATTATATTCCTGTCTTTAAATACAGGATTTTTATATTTTTAGAGACAATTATTTGGGGAAAAATATTTAGACCTGTCATTTGATTCAACTTTTATTCTTCTTTAGTTTCTTCAAATTCACAAGTTAACCCTGTGATAGTGGACACGAGTTAACTAAATAACAAAGCCTTCTCATAGCTTACTTGACCCCAACAGCTCACAGATATTTGTTGAATGAATGGACTGTTCCGTGATATTACATGAGAAACATAGCACTTTCCCTGTTTCTGCTTAATAAAGAATTCACTCAATTCACAATTCCAAACAAGATTTTACTCTTTCTAACACATGGACTCACAACACCTATCCTAACACAAAAACAGAATATCGGAACCTAAAGTGCTGATTTCCCGGAGAGAACATGGACACAAATGGACAGATGGGAAAGAAAGAAGGGCGACATTAAGTAGCCATTTTGAGCTTATCAAGCCATTTCTTGTTAAGAGAGAGATCTCCATAGATCCTTAACAATAGACAGTGAGGATGCTGATCCCTGGGCTCATCAGATACAGACTCCAAGTCCTCATGTGAGCTCCACTGGAATTCTTCCTAAACAAGAGCAATAACAAAAATAATAAATGACTTGAATAAGATAGAACCCTCTTTTCTCTCACACATAGAAAAATCTGAACATCAGAATACCAGGTAAATATGGTGTCTCCACAATCTTGTCTAGCATTCGTGTTCCTGTGCTTCAGCTGTACAATCCAAGCACCTTGCTTCCCACCCTCAAGGTCACCTCTCGTTCCCTTACCACTGATTTTCAGGCAAAAAGCTGAAAGAAAAGGCAGAAGGGCAACCTGGCACTTCCCCGAAGTGAGTTTCCTTTAAGCCGTCTTCAGAAAACTCCCACAAATATTTCTCTTAAATAGCTCAAGACTAGAACTTAGTCCCATAGCCAAATTTAGCTACAAAATCTGGAAGGCAATATGCTTTTTATTAGAACCAACAGTATAACCAACTAAAGGTTCTGGTTACTTTCTAAACAGAAAAGGGTAAAAGGATGTAGGAAAAAACTGATGATTCTACCACAATTATCATATTCTAAGACATGATTAATAATTCACTTCTTGAAGTGAAAGCTAGCAATCCCATTGCAAGTGGTCTGAGATAGTATTTAAAATATTCATTCAAAACCCAGAATCTAAATGTGCATGTACACGCACACACACGGTAATCTTAGCACCATTCCCTTACCCGTGGCTATTGAAAGTTATAGTTCCTGCTCTTTAGATGAAACTAGCATCTGCTGTTACTAGACACATTTATCCTTTATGGACACAGAATCTGTATGTAAGTATGTGTGGTAAATTATATGCAATTCTCATTAGAGCATATACGCTCAGTAATACTGAACAATCAGTAGGACAGAGTCTAGAATGGGCAAAGTAAAACAAGAAACTTCTCTAATAGATTTCCACCCAAAGCTCATTTCATACAATTACATTTCTGAAAAACTAAATTAAAGCATCAAAATCAGTTCTTTGCAGTTTTCTTCGCTAGACAGTTTTTTCCAAGATCTGTTCTTTTCCAGACAATGATTTATTTGGTAGTTGTTCTTTGCAGTAAAGAGCTTTGACACCAAACTAGTTTCTAGCTCCTTGAAAACTTGGAGTAAACCTGTTCCTTTGTCCGGCTTATATCTTCCTTCACATCCCATCACACTTTCCGTGTTTCATGGTGCATTTTCCATGTTTCCCTAAAAGGCTTGTTTCAGGAAAATATGGATAGGTTTCTTTTGCATCAAGATCTGGTGCAAAAAATATAAAATTTGAAATAATTCATCAAGATAATTTTTGTAGTCCCCATTCACTTCAATTTATCCTAAAGTGATGCAAATTTAATCTTTATTTTGTTAAAGAAAATACAAATTCAAAAAATTTATAGCTAAAGGGGATCTTGGCAGAGGTTATATCACTCT